CCATTGAGTCTGACTCTAGTTCTTGTTAGTGCCATTGAGTCGATTCTGACTCCTGGCGACCCTTGTGTATGGTAGAGCGGAACCCTGCCCAGTCTTTTTGTGCCATCCTTTCACCTTCTCGTACTAAATCAGGTGATGCTCAGCTACTATTCTCAGAGTTTTCTTTTCCAATTTTTTCAGAAGCAGGTGGCCAGGTCCTTCTTCCTAGTCTGTCTTAGTCTGGAAGCTCTGCTGAAACCTGCCTACCATGGGTGACCCTGCTGGTGTTTGAAATATCAGTGGCATAGCTCTCAGCATCACAGCAACACGCACCTGCCACAGTGTGACAACCAACAGGCGGGTGGTGTGGGTCCCTGACTGGGAATTGAACCAGGGCTGTAGCGGTGAGATTGCCGAATCTTAACCAGTAGACCACCGGGGCTGGCTTTTCCAGGCTGGAACTTGCAATTTATAGGTTAAACAGACATCGTCATCCCCTTTGTGCACAGGCAGAGCATGAAACCTTGGAAACAGAGGCACGGTCATCCAGCTAACCGAGTCCTTGGCCTCTAAGTCGAGGCCTATTCCCAGGAGTCCAGTGTCCCCACTGTCACAGAGACCCTATTTGGAGGCAGAAGATGGCTTAGGGTGACTTAGATGACCATTACCAGGACTGCAGTGTTGGGAATAGAGAGGAATGGTCAAATTTGAGAGCTCCATAAAGACAAGATTTCACAGTTTTGAAACAAGCAACGGGTTGTTCCTTAGAGTAATAATGTGTTCATGTTTATCACAGACGTTTCAGCTCCCACTGGTGAGAAATGACTGCTGCGTCCTTGCTTTGGGGACAAGTTTTTCAGGAAATGCCAGAGCCAGGTAGTCTGATTTCTTGGGAATCTTCAGTGCCTCCCCAGTGATATCTCTTGGGGGCTGAGTGTGAATCTGCAGGCTCCTCTTGGGCGTTAACACGTGGGGAATGAAGCAGAGGATCCTGTGTAGGTTTGTCATTAGGGTGTTTGAAAAGCTCCTGATAGAAGCAGTCATTCTAGTCATTGGACGGGAGAGAGAGTAACCACAGTTGGATTATTTTTAAACGGCCAGTGGAGCTGGGAGAGAGTCTAAACCCAAAGTACAAATTTTCAGTTTAATTTTAACTTTCCACTTAGCTCACACCCAGGATTTGGCGGGGGAAATGGGCCTTAATTTTTTTTTCTTTTTTAAGCAGAACACACCCTGGATGTAAAAGGCCCGTTCTCTTCCCGTGAAAGGGTTTACAGCGGTGGCCACTGAGTGGAGAGGAGAGACGGGAGGAAGTTGGGGGATTGCCGCCAGGGGCTCAGAGTCCCTTTAAGGGATGCTGGGGTGGGTCGGAGGTTTTGAAACACGTTAGCCCGCCCTGGAGCCCGAAGACAGTGGAGGCCGGAGTGACTTCCACACATCGGCTGCTGGGCTGGCACTTTTGTTTTTTCCTGTTTGATCCGATTCAGACACTTCACAGGCAGCTTACCTGCCATCCCCAATGTGACACATCACCCCACAAAGAAGCAATGGGTTTCCCCAACTCATTTGGGCTTTTTGGTGATGTCAGCAAACTCAGGATCTGAGCCTAGGCCTCTCCCTCTCCTCTTTGATCTTACCCCAAGCAGGGCTGAAACCCCCTCCAGGAAGGAAATGCAGAAACCAGGGGGATCCCAGAGGCCCACACCCCGACCTGTAACAGCCACCTGGCCCTCCAGACCCACAGGCTTTCCTTCCCAAGTGAGTGGAAGCAGCCGCCTGCTCCTTGGGGAGAGCGGGGTCCCAGCCCCCAGCCCTTCTCAGATCCTCACTCCCTGACTACAGTGTCATCTAAGTGAGGTCTGGGTTGGGTTTTGTGCTTTGGTTACTGAGGAAGTGTAACCAGGGTGGGGACTGCTGGGAGTGGCCCCCGCACGGCTGGTGGAACAGTGAGAAGACAGGCCAGGGGGGGCAGGTGCAGTCAGGGGAGCTCGTAGGATTGACTTGGGGAGTCTAGGAGAGCCTCTGCCCCACATCTGGGGACATCAGAGAAGCCATGAGGAGCCCTTTCTCATCTTGCGGCAACACTGACCACCTCGGTCCAGTGGACACCCTCCTGTGACCATTCCTGGGCCTTTAGGATAGGTGGTTCTGATGTGGCAGTAAGACAGGGGAATACCCCATTGGGCGATTGTGAGGATTCAATGAGCCAGTGCGGGTGAAGCACTTAGAGTGCACCTGGTTATTACTAATAAAAACATGATAGTAGTGGCTTGCACATGGTCCCAAGAGGAATGGCCCCAGTTTGGGTGTGGTGCTGGGAGCCAGGCCTGAAACCTCTTATCAGTCTGTCGAATTCCCAGGCGGCATTGTGCCTCTCTGGGAAAGAGGCTGACTTCTGGGAGGAATTCCCTTGACTCTCCAGCACTGCGCACCGCCCCCCGCCCCCCCCCCCCCCAATACTGAGTACTTCTCCTTGGCTACTGACTGTAAGAGGAGAAGCCCTTGACCCGTCTAGAAAAACTGCATGTCTGAAATCTTTGAGGGTGAACTGGAATCCCTTCTCATATTTGTCTTTCCTTGGTGGAGCTTAAAGAATTCCCAGGGCCTTCCAAGGAACCGAGTAACTAAAGAGGACTGTGGGCCTTGTGACCAGTGTTCACTGCAGCTGGGGGAGGGGTTCTCCCCTAAGGCTTGGCTTCCTGACTCTACACTGACTTCCTGCCCTAGGGCAGAAGGCCTCACAGGATTTATTCCCAGGCACTGTTGTCAGTGACCTTGAGAAGGTGGCTTGACCTAGACATCTGGCCTTTCCTGGGAGAGTGGGAAAGGGCTTAACTTCTCTCATCCCAGATCCAAGGGAAAGGTGGGCCTTGGCACCAGTGCCTCGGCCAAGAGCTTGCTAGCTCTGGGAGAGAGCTGTGCACCTGGCTTTGCCCCTCTTGATAAATTCCTGCTGTCCTGGCCTGCGTGGTGTGCCTCTCTCCACCAGAGAAGCAGAAAGCAGGGCAGCTGCAGGCCTCTGCAACCCACATGTGCTCCGAGCTCCCCTAGTCTGCCCACTGGTAAGGGTGGACTGAGGATGGACACGGTTGGCCTGCTGTGGCTTCTCGTCCCCCTAGTTGGCACTTGGCCTAGAGATGCCCAAGAGGGAGGAGCATTTGGAGGACTCTTGCATGCTGGCCATGCTGGGCCCTGCAGGAAGAAGCTCAGCAAATTGCCCTGCTGAGGTGGGAGACGCCCTAGAGGGACTGGTTAGAAGGCCCATCTGCTTATCTAGGAGAAGAAAAGGCTCTGAGGGGCAGGAATGATCCTTCAGACAATGTGGGGCTGCTACTGAGAAGGACAGGCCTGTACCGTGTGACCCATGGGTGAGAAATCAGAACCCATGGGTGGAATCCAGGGAGGCATCCTGTCCAGGTGACATCAGTGTGTGTTTCCTGGAGGCTGCAGGGAGCAGGCAGGTGGGGATGCTGTGTCGAGCACCAAGGGCAGCCAGAAGCAATCACCTTTAAGGTGCCTGTCAGACCTGAAAGGCCAGGGAGCAGCCAGACTGCTCAGGGACAGGAATGGTTTAACTCTGGGCATCAGGCTGGATGGCCAAGCACCCTGGCCTCGCATGCTGACTCCCCTGGGTCATTTCAGGCCAGAGACTTGATTATTCCTCCTCAGTCTGTCTCCCTACCATCAGTACTGGAGCCTGAAATCTCCCCTTCAGCTAAGTCTACCTTTTTTTTGTTTTTTTTTTAAGATTTTATTTTTCCTTTTTCTTCCCAAAGCCCCCCGGTACATAGTTGTATATTTTTAGTTGTGGGTCCTTCTAGTTGTGGCATGTGGGACACCGCCTCAGCGTGGCCTGATGAGTGGTACCATGTCCGCGCCCAGGATCCGAACCTGCGAAACCCTGGGCTGCCAAAGCAGAGTGCATAAACTTAACCACTTGGCCACGGGGCCGGACCCCCAAGTCTGCCTTTTAACGAAGGAAAGAGAGGGTAGCTTTTTACCCTCATTAGAAATAAGGGGTTGAGGGCCCACTTTTTGGGTAGGAAGAGACGAGAGGAGAATCTCAGAACTCTTAACAGGGCAAAGCTGCTTCGGGGACTTGGGCAGGGGACAGACAGCGCCGCCGAGGTGCCTTCAAAGACCAGCTTTTGGACTTTGCCAACCTCAGCATTTCATTGCAGGTCCATCCTGGGTTTGCAGATTTCCCTTCTCTCTTTCCACATCTGCTCTCAGGACCCTGAAGAGCAAAGTCTAGAGCCTTGATATCTGATATGGTAACTTTCATGTGTCTCTTTACACTTATAGTAATTAAAAATAAAATTTAGAACTCAGTTCCTCATTCTCACCAGTCACACTGCAAGTGCTCAGTGCTCAGTGGGCTAGTGGCTCCTCTTGGACAGCCCAGAAGGTTCCCATTGTTGCAGCAAGTCCTATTGGACAGCACTGGTCTAGAGAAGGGAGAGTTGGAGGAATCCCTGGTCTGCTGCCCCTGCTGTGGGGCAGGCTCTGGCTGTGGTGGCAGCAGCAGGTGAGAGCAAGCCTACCGCCGCCTTGGGACCCATCAGCACACAGAGGGAGGCGGGGCTGAGGATGGGAGGCATAAGTAGCTGGCCTCGGGAATGTGGTCAGGCTGGTGCCGCGGGACTGTGGTGCTTTATTTTTTAATGGAGTTTTGGAAGAATATGGCAGTGGGTTGGAAGGAGAACACCAACCTTGCCAGTGGCAGCAGGGCTTATTGAGTTTGTCTTCTCCAGTCCGGCCAAGGCCCCTGTCTTGAGTGGCCCTCTGGTTCTGCAGCTCTGCTCATGCGACCACCGCCCCTCCCCTCAGTATTGCTGAATGCAAAAGGACCAGGGTGGGCATTGTCACTGCGATGCTCCAGAGGAGCTGGAAGAAGTGCTGTTTGTCGTGTATGATAGACTGCTTCTTGGCTGTCTCATTGTCCTCCAAGGAGGCCTGACACCCTTCCCCTGCCCCAGGCTCCGCTCATCGCCTCCATTCACGCCCCCTTCCCTTTTCAGGTGAAAGAGCTCGTCCTGGACAACTGTCGGTCGAATGAAGGCAAAATCGAAGGCCTCACAGATGAATTTGAAGAACTGGAGTTCTTAAGTACAATCAACGTAGGCCTCACCTCAGTCGCAAACTTACCAAAGTTAAACAAACTTAAGAAGGTAAACAGAGTGTAGGAGCGTGTGCACGGGAGGCGGGCCGGGGGGAGCAAGGGGTCATTACTTCGTGTTTAGGGAGCATAATTGAAGGTGAAGCCAGGTGCATGCGCCAACACGCCTGACGATTCTTGAGGCAACTTTCCCCTCCTTGCCTGTCTGCCCGGAGCCTTCATCTTAAGAGCTATTTCTGCTTTTTCTCTCCTGCCTTGTTTAGCTTGAACTAAGCGATAACAGAATCTCAGGGGGCCTGGAAGTATTGGCAGAAAAGTGTCCGAACCTCACGCATCTAAATTTAAGTGGCAACAAAATTAAAGACCTCAGCACAATAGAGCCACTGGTGAGTCATGTGGGTCCCCTCTCCGTGGCGGGGGTGGGCAGGATTGAGATCACGGAATAGTACCTTTGCGTTTGTATAATGTCCTTTTTCTCACTTAGCTTACTGTATTTGACTGTTGTTATGTGCTATGAGATAGACTTGGAGTGGTAATTTCTACTTCATCCAAGAGAAACTGAGACATAGGGAAGTTAAATAGCTTGACAGAAGTCACTGAGCCAGCCTGGGCCTTTGGGCTGGGGTGAGGGCAGACCTTGGCCTCAATTTCTCGTCTAGTGCTTTTCCTCATACAGTTTCTGCTCAGCTTTGGAATCCTGAGCTGTCATTTCTTCTGGCGTACAGCATGGCTCAGTCTCCCTCTTTAGGGAAGGAGGAGCCATCCAAGAATTAAGCTGACCCTGGAGGTGGGCACTTCTTTTTTCCTTAGGTCACTGGCCTGAGGCTAGTGCCTCTGGACGGTGGGAGATGAGTGGGTCCTGAAACAGGCCCCCTGGGATGGCAGAGAGTGTGTGGTTTGGGAGCCTCACACAGAACTTGGTCCACGTGGCATCGGGAAGAATGCCCTGGTCTCCAGTCCTTGGCGTGGTAGTGACCAGGGCCTCAGAGGCCTGGACAGTGTTTCTGGCTCCTCTGCTCATCCTCACAGAGCTGAACATCCCCCAAACTTCACTGATGTACTAGCCAGAAAGAGACAAGTCATGGTGAGAATAACAACTTCTACGTTATCCAGATCTGAATGGCTGTTTTTCCTTGATTTCAAGAAAATCAACTTTGTCAACAAGATGTGTCACTGAGTAAATAATAGCTTTTTTGAAATACAGAAATACTATCATGTTAAATAAACACACTTATTGTAAATGTACACATAAGAATCACTTCATGGACCATGCGTCTCAGATCAGGAAAAGGCCATGTGGATATTTTTGCCAAGTTGCCGCATTTCCCTTTTCTGAGTATGAAAGGTGGTGGTTGGGACATCCCTCAGTTTTAGTTTGTAGGGTTCTTATCCAAAAAGCACTCCTTGCGCTCTGTGGATGCTTGAGGAGGGCTGGTGGACGGGCTAGGGTGACAGAACAGGAAGCTGGCACTACTTTTCCAAGCTCAAACTTTGCCTGCCCATCTGTGGCATGGGGTCGACTGCTAGAATAAGCTTCCCGTAGGACTTCTCTCCCACGCATCTCCTAGGGGAAAGCAAAGCTATTCTGATCTACCTGGAAGTCTTGATTTCATAATTTCATTATAAAAAGAACCTTTGAAGTTCTGTATATGTGTTTGGGGAGGCGCAGGGTATGAGGATCGAGTATACAAAACATTGTGATCAGTCACCGTTAGAGATCCGACATGCACACACACGCACACCCCCTGCTCCCCCACCCATACCACACATGCTTTTGTAGCTCCCCTTCCCTGGTTATCAGTGTGATGCATTACATTCGCCTCCTGAGGGGGCGAAGCTGTCTTTGGTTGGGGGGTCCTCGGCTTGCCCACCCAGAACACAGCACAGACTTCCTTGACCCTCTGCTGAGAATGCCTGGGTCTCAATCGTGAGATCTTGAAAGAGCAGCCTAGTTCCCGACATTGACCCTGAGGGACTTCACTCCCCCGTCAGGCCTGGTCCCGTTGGAATTGGGACTTGGCTGAGGATGGGTGCTCTCAGACCTGTGCCTTGAAGACGTGGGGTGGGAAGTCGAGAGGTTTCTGTTTCTTGCTAGCCGGCTGACCCTCGCACTCCGTGGGCTTTGGTTTCCTCGGCCACCAAACAGGTGTACTATGGGTTAGAACCCATCTGGGAGAAAGCTTTGACAAAGCTAGTCGTGTTAGGTTCCAGCGACAGAATCCGGGTCCTCCATCGTTTTCCCTCTTGTCCCTTTTGACAGGCGGTGTTGCAGTGAGTAAGGGCGCGGGTCTGGAGTTGGGCTGCCTGATCAAATCCCAATTCTCTGCCCTCATTTCCTCATCTATAAAACCGACTAGTGGTTGTTTCTGCCTTCTCGGGGTTGTGAGGATAAACCAAATCAGTACGCGAAGTGCCATGTTAACTGCTGGCATCATTGTCGTTGTTAGTAGACGCAGGAGTTGGTTGTGAGCTCACGTCTCCATTTGAGTTCCCCTCTGGCTCCTCAGTCCGGGGAAGCAGCAGAGCTCCTGGCTCCTGCCCCAGGAGGCCCGGTGAGTCCCAAGCCGGTCATGTTGAGGCGAGAGCTGGGACTGGAGAACAGAGGAGTTAGCGCTGGACGAGGCTTTGAGACCCTCAAGTCCAGCCCCCCATTTCCCAGGGGAAGAAGCTGAGGCCCCCAACAGAGGTGATAAGTCTGGACGTACCTCATGGCCCAGCAGAGCCAGAGCAGACTGCCCTTATGGCCTGTGAGCCTGGAGGTCTCCCGCTGTTGCACAGCACCCCACCTCTTTCCCTGGGGTGTTTGCTCACCGCGCCCCCCCACCTCCCACTTGTTGCTCACTGTTGACTTCATTTTTCTGCTTGCAGAAAAAGTTAGAAAACCTCAAGAGCTTAGACCTTTTCAATTGTGAGGTAACCAACCTGAATGACTACCGAGAAAACGTGTTCAAGCTCCTCCCGCAGCTCACGTACCTCGACGGCTACGACCGGGACGACAAGGAGGCCCCCGACTCGGACGCCGAGGGCTACGTGGAGGGCCTGGACGACGACGAGGAGGATGAAGACGGTGGGTGGTGGAGGGGAAGGTCCAGGGCAGGCCGGGTTCCCCCCTGCTTTACAGAGGGGGGGCTGGCTGACGGAGGCCCCCACCAGCCGCTGAGGGCTAGCTGGCTGTCGACCTCTTTCCAGAAGTAAGGAGGGGCGTTGGGGCTGTCTGCTTTGCTTACCATTGTCCCTAATCTGTCTCATTGTCACCCCTAAAAGAATAGGATGTGAGCCCCAGAGAAAAACATCTTGAGATTCTCCAACTGCATTGTAACTCCTTAAAAACCATCTAGTTGAATCTTCCCTTCAATTGTTTTCTTTTCTAAAGTCCCCTGGGGAATGAGATTCAACAGTGTCTCTCTATGGTGTGACCCTGGACTCAGACACTCTCACAGGGAAGGGGTCAGTGGATAGATGAAGGTAGGGTGTGGCCTGAGGGTTCCCTTTCCCCAACTGGGTGTCCAGTAGTAGACGTAAGGTCATGAGCTGAAGGGGTTGTGGGGCCCCCTGGTGGCTGTAGCCCACAGGACTTGGGGGTGTGGACTCAAGAGCCCCAGGGGTCCGGGAAATGGAGGAGGCAGCAGGCAGCATGTTGGCAGCACATGACAGTCAGGGCCTGCAGGCAGGAGAGAAGGGGAAGAAAGGAGCACCTCCTCCTGTCCCCATCCCACACGCCAGCACAGTGTGACCTCCCTGCAGGTCTTCAGGGCCAGAGTAAGGTTGAGACTGGAGACACTTGCCTGGTTAATTCAGACATGAGAGTTTGTTTCTCCATGTTGGGTGGAAGTATGAGCAAGATATTCAGACCGTGTTTACCTTAGTGTGTTCCATCTTGTGGTGTGACAGAAAAGGCCGAGGGCTGGAGTCCTAAGATCAGGTTTCTAGGCCCAGCTCTGCAACGAACTCCATGTGTGACCTTGAGCAAGTCACTTCTCGCCTCTGGGATTCCAATTTCTCAGCTTTAAAGCGAGGAGTTTCGTCAGATGTTCTTCTAAATGAATTGATTTCTCCGTTTTCCCAGGCCCTGTAATTTGTTCCTCTGATCCGGCAGTTTCCCTGTGGTCTCAGCCTCCACAAGGGATCTTTGTTTTTGTAAAACTTGGGAGGAGGGCTTACCTTTCCAGTCGCTGTAGGATGCTTATCTTTGGGATTGCTTTAGGTTGTGTTCAGTCACGTTAGAGCATCCAGGCTTTGGGCCTGTGCGGGTGTGAGAGGGTCGTGGGCCCACGCTGAAGACCAGACCCCCTGTGCCAGGCCCGTCAGCCTGGGTCCTGTGCTGTGAGGGAGGAGCCAGCTCACCACCACCTCCATTCTTGTCCCCATTTCCACTGCACAGAGGAAGAGTATGATGAAGATGCTCAGGTAGTGGAGGACGAGGAGGACGAGGAGGAGGAGGAGGAAGGTGAAGAGGAGGATGTGAGTGGAGAGGAGGAGGTAAGAGGCTGGGCTGGGTGCGGGTGCCGTCTCCCCAAGTCCCCCTTGCTTGCTGCCTCTGAGTCAGTGTCACTGACTGCCCCAGCGCCCAGCCTTTGGCAGCCCCCAAACCCTGCTTGTGGAAATGAGTCCATTTTAGGGCCTTTTACTGGCCTGGTTTGGGGGAGGCAAGACTTGAAGCTGCCCTGGGAGGGGTAGAGAGGTGATTCTGGAGGCAGGTAAAGAGGGGACTCACCTGCTGGGGTAATGCCTACGCCTTATTTCTACATGAAAATTGGTTCTCTGAGAATCCACAGCCCCACTTTCTGCCTTTTCGCATTCGTATGTTAGTTCAGATATTCACTGAGCGCTTACAGTGTGCTCAGGAAAATCAGAGACTGCCTTGAACTTTTGGGAAGTAGGATAAGCCACTGCTGGATCCCGAATCAGAAAGTGACGAGGGCCCCCTGTACACAGTGGAAATAGTGCCATTGTCCTGACACAATGGCTGGCTCCCAGTTTTTTAACAAAGTCTGTGACATGTCTGTAGGGGGTAATGTATTACAGAGATTCAGGGTACAGTCTGTGAGGGAGTGGATCTCAGCTCTACCACTTGCTGGCTGTGTGTCCCTGGACAAGTTCCTTGACCTTTCTGAGCCCATTTCTTCATCTGTAAAATAGGCATCAATTTACAACTGGGTTGTAAATAGGGATCAGCTCACTGGGTTGTTAAGAGGGTAAAATAATTTGTAAGCAGAATGCTTAAGGACAGTGACCGACAGGGGACGTTTGACCACTTAGTATTTTAGGCTTTCACACCTCCTCAGTCCTGGCTCTGGGTGCTGGGCTTTATGTTTCTCGGTTCTGAGTCTGTATGGCAGAGTCATTTTCCGGGACTTGTTCAGAAGTCTTAAGTCAACTCTTGTTAATTACAAAAGTTAGACCCAGAGAGGATTAAAATGACAACAGCATGGACAAGGTACTTGCCTTCTGCCCCAGTTTCCTGTCTCCTTTGATCAGGGCCCAGACACCTGCCTGCACACAGCGGGCTCAAGCAGGAGCTCCCAGCCTGCCCACACCAGGCATGGGATGGCAGGTCTGGGCGGATGGAGAAGCTGGTGAGATAGGGGGTTCCTGCCTCGTTGAGCTGCTGGGTTTCTCTTCTCCCTACATGTAGGTTGCTAGGCTTACCTCTGAAGAATATTGTGAGTGTTTTGAAAGAAAGACTTAGGAAAACAGGTCCCCCTAGGACAGGGCGGTAAGTCATGTTGGCTAATGGATTTTTCATTTTGCTCTTCCTGTCACTGGAGCGCAGCGTGCAGGTTTTGTTTCTTGTTTTTTTTTCGTAATCTCATTGACCATCTGCAGATTTCCAGCTTCCAGTAAAGGAGAGCTTATACACACACAAAAAAAACAGTCCTAGCGAACAGACTGATTAAGGAGCTATTTGGTGACATTATAAAAGGATGTTTCCCTTGACAAAAAGAAGTCTATCACCAAGTTCTTTTTAAACAATGGGCCGCCTGGTGCTTTAGGAGACACACTCAGCATCCTGCCAGCCCGGCGCTTGCAGGAGCAGCATAAAGAAGGGTCGTGGGTTGAGAGTGAATACATGCTTGCTGAATCTCAAGGAGCTGGGAATGATCTCCTCAGGGGGCCTTGAATTTATCCTCCCCTTCCTTCCCCGCCAAGCGATCCAAGTTGGCGAGATGGTGAAGGGGCTGGGTGGGGGGAGGTTGGACTCGCCCACAGAATCTGGATTTGCTGAAAGTAGGGTCTTCCCTTGAAGCCAAAGCTAGAGTGAGGACAGATGCAAGGACAGCCTGCTTTAGATGACAGAGAGCCGGCTAGGGGACCTTGTTCTCCTAGAGCGTGCAGACTGGAAAGCTGCCTGAGTTACGGGGACTTCAGGTCAGGAAGTCTAAACCACACACATTGTTGGCAAGTGTTGGAGTTCAGTGTCAGGGAAAGTGGCTTCCTCAGCACGTCCCTAGGCCAGGGGCATTCCTAATGTCTGGTGTCCATCTTCTCTCCTAGGAGGATGAAGAAGGTTATAATGACGGGGAAGTAGATGATGAGGAAGATGAAGAAGATCTTGGTGGTATGGCAGCCTTTTTACTCTCAGCGGGTTGCAGCCTGGCCCCTTCATTTGGCAGTAGATTGATGAGGCCCTGAGGACCTGGAAGTGGGCACAGCGAGCCCATCTGAGACCACAGGGGCCTCCCTGGCTTGCAGGAAGAAGCCCTGCCTCAGTTTGCCAGGGTTGGCAAAGCTTCCTAGCTGTGTGGTCCCTTGGTTTCCCAGCGGGTGGGCTGGGTTAGAGGCAGGATCAATGATTAATCTAAATGCCTTTTTCTTACTCTTCCAGAAGAAGAAAGGGGTCAGAAGCGAAAACGAGAACCTGAAGATGAGGGAGAAGATGATGACTAAGTGGAATAACCTATTTTGAAAAATTCCTGTTGTGATTTGACTGTTTTTACCCATACCCCCCTCCCCATCCCGCCCCCCGAAACTTATTTTTTTCTGATTGTAACGTTGCTGTGGGAACGAGAGGGGAAAAGTGTACTGGGGGTTGTGGGGGGAGGGAGGGCGGGAGGGGGTGGAATAAAATACTATTTTTACTGCCACTCTTTATTTTTTTTTCCCCTACTTTTTCTTTGTGTCTGGTTCTGCCCCTGTAAATGCAATAGCTGAGTACACACCAAGTGAGCATTTGCTCCTTACTCTCAGAGAGGACGGTTTGGAGGCCTCTTACGTTTCCTGGTGTTTCCTGAGTCTCTTAGTTGGTTGCAAGGCCATGGCTGGCCACAGTTTGGTTTCTCAGAGCCCAGGAGGGGCTGAGCACCAGCCACATCTTACCTCTTGTTCTGCTTGCCGTGGTTTCTGCATTTCTTGGGCCTGTTCGAGGCACCTGATGCCCCTGGTTTGTAAATAGCAACCTAAAGGCGTGTTTTGGCACTGGATGGGCACAGTCCCCGTCTCCCTTCCCTTTCCCTCTTCACAGCTGGTGGTGGGCTTCACTCTACAAAGAGGACTCTGATGTCACTCTTAAGAGCTGTGAGCCAGAGAGCCGAGAACAGCAGGCTTATGAGTTAGGAGTAAAGTAGATTTGGTAATAATAATTAAAACAAAAGAAGTAAACCCTCAAACTTCAACCTCTTTAAAAGATTCAAAAAAAAAAACTGTCCTGTCTTGTTCTGTAAACTATTAGAACGCTTTGTTTTACAAAATGACGAGAGAAATCTTCCACGTGTGCTTCTGTGCTTAGACCATTTTTACAAGGCTGAGCGCGGGAGACATTGCTGCATGTCTGCTGGGGTTTTTTTCATACAGCGGAGCACGGAAAAACTAACGCAAAATTGTATTTTCTTACCTAGTGGAAATCTGAAGTGACCGCAAATTCCTAGTGAATGCACAGGTGTGCTTTCATGTCCCTCTTCTGGATTGCTTTACAAGTAGCGTGTGTCTCCCTAGCCCGTGTTCCATCTGTACAGAAGAGCATCTGCCCGGATTTTCTCCTCCCCCTCAGAAGAGCCAAACTTTGAGTTTTATGTCTGTTTGTCATTGATAAATTTCAATAAATCTTTTTATACAGTTTTTTGGGGATGGCTTCTTTGAGTCCAGCAGGCCGTTGCTGCTCCTCCGATGCACGCCGGATAACCTACACGCTCATCGGGAGAGCTTCTCTTTGGTCACCTGATAAAATAGCTTTGCTGAGAGGATACGTAACTCGATAGTAAATTTGCATACTTTGGGTCTCACGGCAAGACTTAGTAGTTGGTGTATTATCTTCTTTAAAATCTTCATTTTGAGAAAAAGATATAAAAAGAGTTGTTAAAAAACCAAGCACCAAAGCAATCACCAAAAAGTTGGGCCAGCTTTGGAACCTTATTTGGAATATCTTTCGTCGTTTCGTTGTTCAGACTGTAGAAAGAATATACGCTTGAAAACCTCAGCAATGTATAAAGCAAATTATTTCACAAACCCAGAGGTTTACATGGTGGCTTTTTTGTTCCTTTATTTAATGTTATGATAGTTTCTACCTCTAAAGAGTCTTCAAAAGCTTCTTAAATGGCTATGTAGTAGTTGATTAACTTCTGATTTGCTTAATTTTAACCAAATGGTTAGATGTTTGAGTTATTTCCAACTTACCAATTGTAGTGGACATTCTGGTATACATTTTGGGAATTTCTTGGTATAAATTCTTAGAAGTAGTCATTGGACCAAAAGTTAACATTCATAAGGCTAATATGCAAGGTCCTATTAGGTTTTCCAGAAGGGTTATACCAATGTGCTGGGGTAGTTATGTCTACACGCATATGTGCATGCTCAGCCTGCCGGCCCTGAAGCACACGGGGAGCCCTAGTGTCTGTCTTGGGATCGTTGTGTGATTCCAGCAGAGTGAAGTCTTCCCGGGAGAGGCTGACCCACCCTGCCCTTTGGGCAGTGCCCTGGCCCTGCCGCCGTTTTCTTCACAGCAGGCAGACATCCTCTGGCTCCAGTTGTAGGATGGGGAGGTGGCCTCCCAGAGGCCAGGTGCTGTGCTAAACGCCAGGGCTATAAGGATGAGCTAGGCAGGCGTGCTCTGTGCTTCCCCGAGCTGGTGAAAACATGAAAGATGCACCGGCCTAACCTCAGGGTTCCTGGCCCTGACTCCAGGAGGTTTTTTTTGTTTTTGTTTTTGTTAAGGATTAGCACCTGGGCTAACAACTGTTGCCAATCTTTTTTTTTTTTTCTGCTTTTATCTCCCCCAACCCCCCGTACACAGTTGTATATCTTAGTTGCATGTCCTTCTAGTTGTGGGGTGTTCCAGGAGGCTTTAAGATCAGTTGACTCACATAGATAGGGAAATAAATCCTATAAAATGTAAGGTAAAATGGACGATGATGAATGGGTTAATGTTGATGGGCCTAAGGGAAGAAAACCCGATCTGAGTCAATCATACCAAGCATTCACGTCAACCCTCGAGGAAGGGACATGTGCCCATTTTACAGGATGAGGAAAACGGGTTGAGTGACTTGTGGGTGAGAAGTGGAGCCGGGGAGACCCAGATCTATTGGAGCTATTTCCGTCTCACCGAACTTCGTCATGAAGCAGAGGGAGAGAAAGCTCAACCAGAGGAGAAGCAGTGCGAGCTGACGTTTAGTGAGCTCTTTGTGTGTGCCAGGTACCAGGCTTGATATGCAGCGTCTCATTTGTCTTGAATCCTCACAGTCACCTTAGGTAGGTGCCATTACTGGTGGCCTAGAGAGTAATTTGCCCAAGGTCACGCAGCCACAAAAGAACAGCATCAGGAATATGCCAGGGGTTGTGGTCCCGGAGCCAGCCCTCTTAGCTACTCTAGAGTGCTTCCAGCCCCTGTGTTGAAGCAAGTCCTCGCCCTTGCCCACAGCTCTGGTGAGTGAGGTCTCCCCACTGAGTGCTAGCAAATGCCTCAGGACAGACCCTTGAGAGGAAGGGCTCTTAGAAATCACCCAGGCCAACCCTCTCATTTGACAACAGAGGAAACCAAGACCCAGGGGGGCCAGGTGATAGGCCCAAGGTCACACTGCAAGGCAGTGGCAGAGCCAAGCCTGGAACCCAGGACTCCCTTCCTGGGCTTCTGCAGCCTGTCTTAGGCTGCTGCACCGTGTGGTTGCAAGGAGGCCAACTGTTGTGAGAAGCAGAAGACGCACAGTGCAGTCTTCCGGGAAGAACGCAGCCAGGCCTCGAGAAGGTAGGATGTACGAGCACTGTGACGCATCTGTGTTTCATGTGCTTTGAGTGCGTCCTACGTCTTTAAATATCACAGTGGATTTGGCTTCCCGATGGTGTCTGAGGGTGATTCCCCCCGGAAAGAGTGTGTGTTTCTTGAAGCAGACCAGTGCCTGGAGAGAGTAATAAGGATGATTCCAGACTATGAGCTCCTACTGTGTCATGTGCTTTATATCCATTGCCTCCCTTAATCCTCGCGCAGATTTCATAACGAAGCCGAGGCTCAGAGAGGTGAAACAACCAGCCCAGATAGTAAGTGGCAGTTAAGCCTCTGACCTATGATTCTGGCGCTAAAGACCTCGTTCTTACCCACTGTGTTGAAGAGCCAGGCAGATGAGGGAAGGGGGGATGAGCAATTTGGTTTGTCTCATTTGCTGACTTGCAAAGGCTGTTTTTATCCCGGTTCAGAAACTCATTGCTCATAGTTGGAAGGATTCCCACAGTGGGTCCCTAATAAGCAGCTTTGGACAATGGTGGCCCTGAGTCCCCGGACCAGCCCTTGGACAGGCCCCTGTGGCAGGCTGGGCCCAGGGGTGAGTGGGGCCAAGGAGAGGGCTGGAGACGGTTGGACAGATGAGGGCAGGTCTGAGGCTGAATCAGCCTGACTGAGGCCCTCAAGGCAGGCCACGGATATGCCAGCAGGGAGAGAGGAGGAAGATTCAAACCCGATGGGGCATCAGTAGACTGCTGGCTGTGTGACTTAGGGAGCCGATGCAGGGGACGTCTGTGGAGCTGCCTGCCAAGCATCAGTTCCTCTTGGTCTGGCAACAACACTAGAGGGAACCACTGGAAGGATCACATGGCTATGAACCATGCCTGTTCCTGAAGTTCAGATGGAGCTAAACCCCACCTCTCCAGTTCCTGGGGTGAGCAAGTGACCCAGGACTGGCCGATCAGCGTATTCCAAACTTTGACCATAGTGACTGGGACAAGGAAGGGCCTGGAACCCAAATCGGTTAGATGAGGCTTGGTCTCTAGAATTTGGAAAAGGAGAAACTTCCTGCTGTGGGTACTGGGCATGGACACCTAGAGTTATGGAGGCACATCCCTTGGAGAAAGCCTCTGGATTATTCCATTTCAGCCTGATGGAGTCCTAACTAATCAATGAAGTGAGGACAGTACGTATATTTAGAACTTACTGTTTGCTGGGCATCATACATTATTTTGTTTGCTTCTTGTAATAACCCTATCTGGTAGTCATTATTATCCCCATCTCAAAGATTGAATATATGTAAGCACTTGATAGATATTAGCTGCTTAGTGCCAGACATAGCAATAAATGCTTTATAAAAATCAACCTCGTGTTTCCCAAATTTCGCTGATAATAATCGCTGGGGCTTGTCAGATTGCCTGGCTTCCCCCCTGCGAGTCCCGAGTCAGTAGCTTTGGATCGGAGCCCGGGAATCTGTGTTTTAACAAGTACCCAGAGGATTCTCATCACTGGGGACCTTTGGGAAACGCTGTAGTAGACTCAATCTCCAGCACGTCCTGTGCGGGAGGTATTGTGGGCATGCTCGTTCAAACTGGGGAAAGCGAGGCTCAAGAGAGCGCAGGTAACCTGCCCGAGCTAACACGGGGCTGAACAACAGAGCTGGGACCTGAACCCGGGTCTGCATGACTTTCACACTTCTTGTAGAAGGCGGGTGATGGTAACGACCTGTGTATCTCCCAGGTGGTGAGACAATGCAAAAGATAGGAAAGAACAAACAGCCTAAACACCTAAATTAAAAGGCAGAGGTTGTCAGATTGGATACAAAAGCAAGACTCAATAATACGCTGCCCACAAGAGACCCACTTTAAATACAAAGATGTAGAGGGGTGAAAAGTTAAAGGACAGAAACATGTATACCATGCTAACACTAATCAAAGAAAGCTGGAGTGGCTACCATACCATAAAATACTACTCAGCAGTGAAGAGGAACGAACTGTGGGGATGCATGATGGCATGGGTGAATCTCAAAATAATGATGCTGAGTGAGAGAAGCTGGACCAAAAAGATACTGTAAAATTCCAATTATATAAAACTATAAAATTCAAACTAATATAGCAACAGAAAGAAGATCAGATGGTGCCTGGGGTGGGACACGAAGGAGGAGAGATTAGACAGGGCGTGGTGAAACTTCTGGGGGGGATGGGCAGCTCCACTCGATTGTGGTAATGGTTTCACTGGCGTGCACATGTGTCAAATTGTGCACTTGAAACATGTGCAGTCTATTGTATATCAACTATATCTGAATTGAAAAATGAAAGTCATTTAAAAAAAACATGAGAAAGAACACTGCAAAGTAGAAAGCAAAAACTGCTATTAAAGGAGAGAGATGCTGGTTTTATGAAAAAGAAGCCCAAGCAACCCAAATATTTTCTGTAACAAGGGAAAAGTCCTAAAAGCCACTTGGTAATTAAGATAATCTACATGGAAGGGTTTTTTTTTTCCTCCCTTTTGAAACTTACATACAATAAAATTCACTCTTTGTGTCAACCCCACAGTCATGACACAGGTCCTGGGAGGTCTTAGCTGTAACGAGTAATCGATTTGTGCTCTGGGCATACCCTGAATCTTGCTGATGGCCTTCTGAAGGTGTTACAAGTCTTGGCCAGGGAGTCAAGGGACATGGATTCTCATCCTAGCTCTGAGACTAACTAGCTGGGTGATAGCAGGCAAGTCACTGTCATGTCCTGTGGGAAGAGTGATGCAGACTCAGTGACTCTGAAGGCCTCAGTCCGTAGTTTGTGGTTGTGTTCTTTACCGCGTTGCCTGAGGCCTCTAGCTAGGTCTCTGTTGAACATGAAGGTTATTAAAGGCGTTCCCTGCCAAAACCCGGTGGTGGCAGTAGGAAGGGTCA